GCTTCGTTTCTCTTAATTCAGAACAACGGATATCTTATACGTACAAAAAAATCAACTTGTATCACGCTGCATCACGCTGTAAGAGGTAGGTCTATTATGAGTATAACAACGCTTAGTAGAAGTTTAGTGATATTCTACATTCTCGAAATAATCTCTTTTTCTAGATCTTAAATTCAAAATAGTTCGAAGTTACAGATAACATTTTATTTAGTTGTAAGCAATTCTTTTAATCTTTTTTTTTTTTTGTTACTGTTTTTTTTTAAAAAGTCGGATTTTAGGTTATTTTTTTTGGAGTATTTATTTTTTTTTTTTATTTCACTCTAGAGATATTTTCAATATATAGTGGGTTTGCTTTTGTTTAGTTATTCAATTTACAGATTACTTTTTTTTTTTTTTTTATTCAGGTTGATTCGTTTGAACCAGCGTATCAAGAATGGGATCTTAGTAAGATGAATATATGTTGGTATTTGACGAATTAGTTTTAGGAGGAATAATTGAAACGGTTAAGCAAATTGCAACTATTTGACACATCTTCCGTTTGATAACAATCGTTTAATTATCATAATGCAACACAAGGATAGATAGGTAGAAATAAGGATATCGATGATTTTATTATAGAATTTAACCTGAAACCACATCTTATGCAGAGATGTAGGATCTTATAAAATTTGCCTACGTATTTCTTAAGATCACAAAATCCCATGTTACTGATTTTACAGAATGGATTTTTCTAATAGGCCAAACAAATTCTTAACAACCTGGTTAAATGAAATGTGACATGTAATACAATGAATACACATAGTTATGTATGCCATCATAATAAAATGGAGTTTAAATTATTGATTAGATCAAGAATTTTATTTAACATTTTATAAATTTTATAGGTTTAAAAATCATATGCAAAAAGTTCTTTTACGATTAAGTTTTTTCTTATACATTTATTATACTATAGTCTTATCGATACTTATATGAATAGATAAAGGTTATGAAATGAAATTATGCAAGATGCCTAAAAAAGATTTAGGTGACAATAGCAGGGAGATGATGGTATCTATCTTTCAAAGTACAGTATTTAATCCGGAGACGGAGACAGACTAGAAGGGCCATATTTTAGCAATTGATTTCCGCAAATAAGGTTGATTTTTTTGTGATATATAATGTAAAATTAAATTGATTTAAACAGCCAATCATGAGAAAGTCTTCCTATGGACACATGATAGTGGAAATTTAGTTGGCGCACCAGGGAACCGCAGGGGTAGTTATCACGAAAAAGTTATCCTATATGCGCTGTACGGTATTATAGATGCAGACTTATGACATCACCTAGTTACGTCCTATATAATAAAGTTTATAATTGAGCCGTAACTAATAGTCTGCATCTATATACGGTACTTATACATGTTTCAAGATATGGTTTTTTTGTACGTATAAGATATCCGTTGTTCTGAATTAAGAGAAACGAAGCAGTGAATGCTAAAGCATGATCAAAGCGTGTACAGCACAATGCAAGCACAAGCATAGCACAGGCAAGAGCATAAGGTCATATGCAAAAGTGTTTTAGATTCGCGAAACCTTTATTGTAATGTCAATACATATCGGGTAGGTAATACTCTAAGAAATCATACATATATATTATAATTCCACATAAATTTGATAAATTCATATGACACACATTCCTTTCTGAGTATCCAAAAATAATCCCTTAACTTGGTAGAATCAGAACTAATGAAGGCAAAAGACATTTAAATTATTATTTGTTCTTTCCTTATTAACAAATGCTCTAATTTTATCCAACGTAGTTTTTCGCGGATTTCTTTGACGATAATAAAAAGCAAACAAGGTGCTACGATCTAGATCAATCTCATCAGCAAATGCATCAAATAATCGAGTAATTTTACGTCCCTTTTTTATTTCCTGATCGACGATTGCATTAAAGGCATTCTGGAGAGTTTCTTTGTCTGAATACTGTGTGTTTGTAAGATTCTTCGTTAAAGGCAAATTTGAACCTTATAGTAAGAAATAAAATGATAAAAATTAGTTAAACATATGAGTCGGAAACGATTATAATTACATGACATACTTTTAGAAACATGCGCCCGTCTGTCTTCATTTTCGTTTTCTCTTTTGCTTTGATCATTTTCTATTTTTATTTGATCATTTTCCCTTTTGATTCGTTCGTTTTCTCTTTTGATTCGTTCGTTTTCTCTTTTTATTTGCTCGTTTTCTCTTTTAATTTGTTCGTTTTCTCTTTTAATTTGTTCATTTTTAATTTGTTCATGTTTAATTTGTTCATTTTTAATTTGTTCATTTTCTCTTTTAGTTTCTAAATAGGATTTGCACAAAAGAACAAGTAGAACAAAAACAAAAAGGCATGCAAAGAATAAAAAAAACTTTACATTTTCCAAAAAAAAGTTTTGTAAACTTTGAATTGGTTCCAAATTTAAATGGAGGTTATCGTAGATTAGTACTAAAATTAAGAATATAATGTAACAAAGATCATTGTGTATATTAAAGCTAAGAAACATTATTATAGTAAATTAGTACGTAGTGTTTTTGATTTTTTATGATTGTAAATTGGTAAAGATGTTTTTGATTTATTTGATGATTCGAATCTCAAGTGACCCCTTTTATAGGCTTTAGAACAAAGTGAATCCGCTTTGTAGATCGGTGATGATCATAACGGATTTGTTTCATAATTGAATAGATTACATCATTAAAATATATGTATAAATCTTTCGTCTCATCGAGACGGTCATTTTAGTAGCAAGATCATCCAAAATGGATCTGTGGATCAAAGGCTATTCGTAGGATTGTTAATGGAGTGGCATACTCCGGAGTGAACCCAACCCAAGTTGGAGTGGGTTAAAAATATGTTGAAATGAAATTGGAGTAAACTGGAGTAAACTGGTCGCCTCTAAACAAATGTGGAGTGGCTCCAGAGTGAATTCACCCAAGTTGCTGTGGTTTGAGGAATAGCTCAACCCAACCCACCCAACTCATTTACGACCCTAGCTATTCGCTGTTAAAGATTGTTACATTTTTGTAATTCCAGGGATAACAATAAGTATGCTGTTACCAGTAGCCCTTAACGAATTCACATGACCAATTACGGACTCTGAGAAAATGCTGGACGTATTTACGAAGATTAAAGATGTAGCCGAGGCATATGTAATAATAACATCTTGGGTCATGAGGTATAGTGGAAACGAAGTTTCTACTCATACATGTTGTGTGTGAAGTTAGAATGGGCATGGACTGAGATTTGAGTTCGAGATGCGAACTAGAATAATTAAATAACACCAAACATTCTAGCCATTATAACTTACCGGACTCACTTCTTCAGATTCTTTAAGGACAGGGTCTGATAAGTCATAAGTTTAAAAGCCAAAGTCTGTTTTTTTTTGGCGTCACTCATATGGTTGAAACTGAAAACACTTATATAGTATCCCCATTAGTATACTAGCATTCTGCTTTAACATTAATTCTTTGATAGATATATGTCTGAGAATATGATCTAATTCTGGGTGTTTAATCGATAAAGAAAAGCAGTGTTTCTTATTCGATGCCAGGGTTTTGACACCTTTACACAAAAGCTCATGAATTTCGAATTGCTAGTAGCTCTCCCAAAAAAAAAAAAACCCCTTGTGATTTTTTATCCAATTAGATCGAAAGATCAGGTGTAACGAAAATCAAAACAATCTTCTTTAGGGTTAGGATTAAGTCACGTTAGGGGAAAGAGATCTACAGACCTGAACATTCTACGTATTTATTTTGATTATTATTGATGCATTTCAATCTGGTTTAATGCAGGATCGAATTTCATAAAATGGCGCCCGATCAACTAAAAAACAATATGCGCATACGTATGCACGTCAACCACGAGCAACGAGAGTGTGCATGAACATCTAATCTAATATATAAAAGATAAATTAATAATAATGATAAAACCGAATTTCACGTGACTTAATCAGAACTTTCATACGTAGTCGATAGCCCGATCGGGTCCTAAAAAAATTTATAAAAAAAGCTAGGTGGTCAAGCCTGTTTTAAAACTTGAATGAAAATCAAGAAATTGAATTTGTATAGACTCTTCCATTTTTTATTTCAACCTCTTATCAAGTATGAGATGCTATAGCATTCAACCCAAGGTGTCCGATGACAAGCCTTCTCTGATAAAGACAGAAAAAAGTTCGTTATAGAAAATGTTCATTATACCCTAAATCAACTGTAACAATAATTAACTTTGGAGCTAATCTATAAAAAATTTTTTTTTTTTTTACTCTGTAGAGATTATGTGAAAGTAATACATTCGAATATCGTTTCTACGTTATTTTAAGGCAAATTTTGTTCATAGAATTAGAGTTAGGATTAGGGTTAGGTAAATTTGCGAGAGAAACATTTTTTTACATTTTTGCTTATGTTACGTGACAGGGGTCACCTAGTCAAATTTCGAGATATTAGCAATTTTATAATGGGGGCGTAAAATGCATGGGACACTGACTAGTCCTGTCTTTATTTTATTTTTTTTAATAAAATTTTAATAAAATTTCATTGGTTCCGGACTAATTCTCTGAGGTTGTTATATAACATGTTACAAATAACTTTGTCCTTCGTCATAATAATCATCATTACTGTAGTAATCGTTATGTTCATAATTATGTTCATAATTATGGTCATAATTAAGGTCATAATTATTGTCATAATTATTGTCATAGCTATTATCATAATAATCGCCAAATTCCTCATCATCTTCCCATCTAGAACTAGCTGGGGTACCACTACGTGCAATTCCAGAGCCACTAACACTCGTAGGATCATAATCCCGCCATGAAGTAGGCGTATTTGGTATACTCCCTCCTGCTATGTTATCAAAAAGTGAATCCAAAATCTTAAAATTTATCTTCTTTGAAAGATTTCTTTCTTCAAATAATCTTCTTGCCGCTTCAGCTGGAGTACTGGCAACTGTCTGATCATCACTTTTACCTTTTCTTGGACGTTTATGCTATTCAATAATTAAAGGAATTTATCATATTAAAACAATTCATCATATTATTAAACTAAAAAATAAACAAATTCTACATACTCTACGAACTCCAATACCATTTGCACGATCTATTTCTTGTTTTTTCCTTTTTGCTATTTTGTGCAAGTTATTTAAGAAACATAAAAATTAACATAAAAATATAAAATATATATTCAAAGAAATTGGATTATATTAACACCTTCAACTTCTTTCAAGTATTCGTGATTCATATCCATCCATACTTGTGTCTTTATTTTAACTTCTTCTTCAGACAAAACTATATTCCTTATTTCATCATCATCAAAATCAGAACCTATTTCTTCATCATCCATAATTTCAGATCCTTTCTTGTTAGCTTTTTTTTTATTAACATGAAATTAATTAGTAAAAATGATTATAAGAAATAAAACAAGTGATGAAAGTAAATGATTAATTACCTTCCATTTCTGAAGATATTTGTTTTAAAGCTGGATCATTTAGATAAGTGTTCATTTCTTCTTCAAGCTCTCGATCTATTTGTTCTTCAATAGCATTTTTTTGTTGTAATACGTCACTCGATTCATCTTCAATATCGTCATCCACCTCTGCATCATTAATATTATCATTATTCTTATTTATTTCATCAACTGTTTCATTCTGCTGAGATGAATTTGTTTGTATTTGATCATTACCATCATGTTCGGCAGATGAAGCCTGTTGTCGTCTGTCGATTGCGTTTTTCTCAGCCTTACGAGCTCTTGTAAAAGATGGCGGATCGCTTTCCTGTTCTAGCCAAACAACTCTAAAATCTCGAACAGTAAGTTTTGCAGTAGGTGTTTCCCTGAATTCTTCAATCCTAATTAAAAAATAGTTAATGATGAATTGAAAAAAATCAATAATACATAATAATACACACACAGAAATTTAAAATTATGAACCTTCTTTTAATTGTTATATCAGCAGTCTTCACTACAGCAATAACTTCTTTAACACTTCTCCGAAAATTATTCATTCGAGCAGCAATGAGTAAACCTACAAAAAGTTAAAAATTGGAATAAAAGGTAAAATGAAAATTTGCGAACAATAAAATGATAAAAGATATTTATTAATACTTGCATGCACCACAAATTCCTGCGGGCCGTCTACCTGTTTGCATCCAATCGCGTTCCATGCGTTGACAAAGCCTAGCAGCATCATTAGCAACACGGCCTGTTTCTTCACCAAATTCCAACATAGAAGCAAATCTTGTAATATATATGGACGGATCGATCAACGGAAGTACAAGGTGAAGTGTATTCACCAATTTTAAGAAAGTTGAACCAAGTGTAAAGACATTAACCTAAAATCAAGAAACAAATAAAACTTGAATCAACATATACATATTATAATAAAAAACATCTTAAAATACATAATCTTACTTGCAGAATGTCGGAAAAATCAATCAACATATGACATGTCTTTTCAGTACGACATACAATGTATAGACAAGCTGCAATTACATGTTGAGTCTTTCGACCTTGAATGAAATTATTAGTAATTGCGAGATTAAAGTATCGTTGTGCAGCTTCCATTAAATGATCTGAGAGACGCAGAGCAGTAGCAAGTGCTTGAATTTGGCGTCTCCCTAATTACCAGGTAATAACATGTTAACGAAATTTCGAACGTTTACTAAAAAGTTATAAGTATGATATAATTTTTGATACCGTTAGCAATAGTTTGTTCTCTTGAATCTAAACTAGAGTGCCTTCTGTAAGGACCGGCAGTTCTCGCACGTCCTACAAAGATACAAAGATAATAACATTTAATAAAAATTTATAGTTGAAATTATTAAATGAATGTGCAAATTACTTTAAAATTGAGAGTGCTTTACTTTGGTCAGCACCAACGTATGCCCCTTGTAGGATAGCAGCGCCCGACGCGCTTTCTCCGAATGTGACTTCAGCAACAATCTTACTTTCTTCGACGACCTTTCAATCGCGAAAAATTTAGTTAGCTTTGTCCTCATTCTTAATGCATTAAAAAAACACGATAAAAGATCCTTACATAACCACATTTTGGACAAAAGGCATGTCCCGCAGCGGAATCGTATTCTATTCTATTCTCGCCACAGTGTGTGCATGACATATTTTATTATTCTTTTATATAAAAGATATAAAAGTGTTTATATTAAATGATTTCATTGTTTAATCCGAGATGCGAACAATTTATCTTTTTATCATCGAATGGTAATACAAGCTGAATCTCATAATGATGATACCGCAGTAAGAACTCGGAATTCAATTCTTTAAAAATTTTTACTTTTTTATTAACATTGCGAATATAATGATAATGATAGTGGATACGTAGTAAAGACAGCTATAATTTACCGTTACTAAAATTGGTTGAATGAACTTCTTTTGATTTTTATTGATACTGTATCGATCGATATGTGTATTACCGGTGTATTACTATCACTACCACTATCGCCTTTTTAGGTATAAGTTTTGCTTTCACTATTAATACATTGGCCACAATAAATCTTTTAATTTCTTTAATTCACTGAATTATTCGAAAGTATAAGTAGTGCTAGCAGGAAGCACGCATGTATATTTATTTATTATTCATTATTTACATGACAAATAAATTCATACAAAATAATTTTATGCTAAGTTTTTTTGACGTTAAAATATTGATTTTGGAAAACATAAATAAATCTTACAAAAGATTGAAAGAATAAAATTTGTAATAATAAACTCTTTAAATAGTCTTTTTTCTTTCTTTTTCTCTCCTTTTTCTTTCTTTTTCCTTTTTTTCTTCATGTTCAATCATATCATCACCAGTAACACCACCCAGAAACTCTTCATAAAACGTATGGTGCAATGTTGGTGCAGAATCTGAGCTCGAAGCGTATCTACGATCAAGTTCAGGTCTAAAAGAGCTAGATACAAATTTGAGGTGAATTAACTCAAGAAATACACGTATGATTAATTTTTCATTTAATACTTACCTTTCTTCCTCCTTCTTTTCATGATTTTTTTTAGACTTTGAGACGTCCGTTTTCTTTTGATTTTCCGTTTGACCATATTTTAAATGGCGCGAGTTATCATATTTATCGGTAGCAGTTGGTGTAGCAACAACATCTGTATTTACAGATCTGGTCCTAGATACGCGGTCGACGGATGGATTTATTCCCGACATTTTTATTATATTATGAATTTTTTCTTTTCGATGGGTACGAATGTTTTTTTTTGCGAAAATCAAAAGACAGAACAGGCAACAAACAGGTCTTTTATAGAAAACAATGTTTATAGATATTACGCATTAACTAAATAAGTAAAACTAGTTATAGAATATTTATGACGAAATCATGACACTTATTCTCAACTAAATTTATAAAATTCAAGTCTGTGTCCAGCTCTGACTTTTAAATTTTAGGAAAACCAATAGGACGACTGAATGAATAAGCCGAAGTCACATCATAATACATATACTGATATATTTAATTTATAATTTATATTTCGATTTAGTGGCATAATCACAACCAAAATTCCATATGATTACGTTATTAAAGTACGTATTAACACCTTTCGATCGTTCTAGTCAATTTTATACACTATTATTTATCTGAGAAATTAATCTAAACCAAATTACGTATATATAGTACGTATAAATATGTGGGTACTTGAGTTTGGAACTGGTTTTATTTTTCTTATGGCAAAGCCGGGTTTAATATAAAAAATTGGTTCTAAACTAGTACGTACTTACGTATCTAGTATTTATAAAAATAAAAAGTAAAGTTTTTCTAAATAGTGTATGCAAGGTTCTACGTAACATTATACTTATCGTCATGCACTGTCTGGAAAAATTCTAAACCTTATAAAAGTGGCAAAATCCAAAACTCTATGAAAGAACCTTGACCTTGTATTTCACGTGTTTAAAGTCATACAACTTAACTAATTCGCAAATTATTTATTTGGCGTAAAAAATGTATATACTTTTTCTGTCAACTTTATTAATTAATATATATCATCAGTGTTGACAAGGCTACTATGTCCAATTGTTTTCAAAGTCAATTGGACACATGTCCAAAACCAACTTAGCGTATTATAGGTATTAAATCATAGTTTCTATATCAATAATTGTTGCTATAAGTAAAAATACCCAGTATATATGTTGTAAGCAGTGTTTAAATTGAAATTGATTTTATGTTCTCAAAAAAAGCATTTTCTGAATTCTTAGTGTTCTCAAGTTTTCTCATTAGAAAGATTTTTTTAATCTTAAAAAAATTTGTTAAATGTTCTCAAATAGAGAACATTTTCCAATAATTCATGTTCATAAAAATTGTTAAGTAATGCTGAGAACAAACACTGGTTGTAAGAACAGAATTTAAATGGATTTGGAATTTCTCAATAAAACTATAATTTTAGAGTAGAATTTATTTTACATAAACCTATACCCGAACACTAAAATTCTAAAATTCCAAATCCACTTAAATTCCATTCCCACTTACAAAATATATTTGGAAAAATCTTTACTGTATCTACTATATCTTTAAGTTCAACTTCTAACCTTTTAATTCTATAAAATTTGATAACCAATAATAAAACACTATACAGTAAAAAAACATACCGTATTTTCGCGAAATAACAGGCATGGACGTTATATAGAAAGTTGTGCCCCCCCTAAAATAGCATATGTTGTTTCCAAAATACCGCGCATCCTATATAAATATCTGCTTCACCGCTCAGTTTCAGTAATAATTAGACATAGCAGGTAGTGTAATAATATGTTGCTATATACAGTACCAATTATTGATAGTATAAAGTTTTTATCTAATTATCATTAGTGGTACAAAAAAGAATTTCACACATGGAAGTTTCGTGTCTTATTCATAAATATTTACATTTGCGCACGAATTCAAGCTTATCACGGGTAATTGACAGTTTAGCATAGCACGAACGAAGACAAAGTATTTGATTATGCATGGTTGAAACTTAACGAATGAAAGATTATTGTGCCGAAGTACAAAGGATCGGAATGGTGGTTTACAGCTTGAAATTTTCCAAAGGATCACTCCAAGGCCATAAATATCTGGTCTCTTCTTACATTTATATTTTTGGGTTTAAAACACTGAGGCTCTTTATATGATATTCCACGCACATAAGTTCAAAGTCATTGCTAAATTAAAATATTCTTAGAATGCTATAAAACATAAAAATTTTACATATAATTTAATAAATTAAAAGGCAATTTACTATAAAATAACTCATTAAGGGATTTCAGAATTAAAAAAATAGCGTATGGGGTATATCTTATTTGTGTATCAAAATTTTGAAATCAGAAAATGAAATGAGAGTGTTTAGAGGTGTTCCGAATAATGATTCTATACTACAATTAAAGTCAGCTACAATTGTGATAAAAACAATTGTAAAACAATTAAATTGCGAATAATTGCCATTTGCCACTTAGGTGTGATGAATCATGGTATGTGACAAATACGTACTACTAATTAATTGAATTAGTGAATCCTTATTTGTCACGCAAGAGATTCATCACACCTAAAATTGCAATTTTGTGGTTGCGCCACTCTCATTTAACGAAATAAACTTTTCAACGACAAAAATCATTATTACAAATTTATTGGAAAATGAAATAAAGTCGATACATCGCTCATTTGAAAATAAGTACGTACGTTACCTATTTCTGTCAAAATTAGATTCGACTTTAGGGCATTGAAAACGACCGCGAATTTGCAATCTTTCATTTACATTTAAAAACCTCCAGTACCAATCATCACGATTAATAAACTTATTCAAGATGACTAATATGTCCATCGGGAACAGCTTTTTGGAGCTTTCCACCTTCAGCAAATTTACAACACCCTCGAATGCTTTCTTTCTTCTAGTGATATGAATCGAAAATCAAATGGCTGAATTTGCAGCTAATTTGGCATAGGATCGATTTTCCGGTCATGCGATTTTCCAGTCAATCGTCTTCGAAAAAAAAACTCATTTATGCTAGGATTCGCGCATAAATTTTATGTTAAAGCTAGAAATAAGTATCCGATAGTAAAATTGTAGAGGATTTTTTTTTTATTAGAACCTCAAAAGCAGTTTACTAATATAAATTTTGAGATAAACGTGATTTTTGCAAAACGAGCATTTGTTTTGAAAGTTTTTACATTCAGTAATTATAAATCACACCGGTAGTGTTCAACGCCATATAATTTTTTAAAGTAATTGGTTGCCAATATTAAAAGTTAGGGTTAAAAATTAGGGTAAATTTTTTTTAGATGCTGATCATTTTTGCTTAACTGTTAATACATCCAGCCTTGATTATTTAGTTTTTGGGACATAGTCACTGTGGTGTTAAACACCATTGGTGTGATTTAACAATACCGTTTTACATTACCCATTGCTAATCGATTAATAACCTAACTATTAACGTTAATTGATTAATCAACTAAATAGCAAATTTTAACTATGTATCAGCGCAGCTATATGAAAAAACTGGTTGTCGCTAGGGATGGCAACGGCTGGCTATTTTCGGCTTAGCCGACCGGCTATCTCGTGATCCAGTGATCCAAATTGGATGATTTTGGCACCATTCGATTCGCCTCATTGAGACGAATTGAATGGTACCAAAACCATCCAATTTGGACTACTAGATCACGAGATAGCCGTTGCCATCCCTAGTTGTCGCAGCTCATTCAATAAACTTATTGAGAGAACCGTTTAGAATTCCCTAAGCTATCAAATTCGTGATTATTTACTATTTATTTTCGTTATATCTGTTATTTTAGTCCGTGAGTAATAATATTAATTTAAATATTTAAAACTATTTAGGTTCGTGATTATTTACTATTTAATTTTCACTTTATTCATGTTATTAATTAATGCATAAGTATAAAAAATATTAATCAAATCATTAAAATAAATTACTAAATGGGGTCTTTGCCTTGAAAATGACCTTACGGTATCATGTACCGTAAGGTCATTTTCAAGGCAAAGACCCCAAATCTTATAAATGTTTACTATTTGATTTAGTTCGTAAATATGAAAAACATTTATTAATCCAAGTATTTGAAAGCCTATTTAAGTTCGTGATCCATACAAGATTCTATTATTCTATATTTACACTACTCTATTTACTCTTTTATATAAAGTTTAAAAAAAAATCCTATTGCCACGAAAATTACATAACTCGGTAATGATTTTTTCCTAGTGTTTTAGTCTTGTTCGTAAACGGCCTATTTAAAAAAAATAAATAAAATAAAAAATGAATAATTACGTCATCGAAAAATTAAGCAAGGACGTTCACAACAATTGTGGTCACGAAGAGCTTCCGGTTACTCAATTTTATGTATCGCGTTTCACCACCAGTGGTTATTACCAGGACTTGCTCACCCGACCATATTAAGGAGTAATTACCTTAACCAGTCAGTCCCGCGAGCACTGACCAAAATAATAAACCAAAGTTATCTCTAAACTATAAGATGAAGAAACGAACGTTCGCAACAGGCGTCCACTTTAGAATCCTAACAGCAACTTCACAAGTTGCGGCCCCGATGGGCTTTCAAATTTCTTCAACCTATAGCTAAAGTCGCAAAACGAATACATACAATTTAGCAACTATCCAGTACAATATATTACCTTTATATCCACGTTATTTTCTCCGAGTATTTCTTCGAATAATATAAAACTATTTAATGTTAAACCAAACAATTCTGAAGTATTTATTTATTTCATTAAAAACTTTTGACTTAGTTAAACAATACAGCGTGAGGCTAGGACGCAAATTAATATCGTAAAAAAAAAGAAAGAAAATCTAGTACTTGGTGTAGAAATGTCACGGTGGAAATATAAAACGAAATTCAAATATAACATGCATTTACTCGAACAGATAATACAATATTTTCTATTTTTTTACTTTAGTCAAATTAACGATTTTAATTCGTCACAGATTAATTGTCTTCAAACTTAAATTTCAGTTTGATGCAACTCTTTTTATGTTATCTTATTTTTTTTTTTTTTATATAATCATCGAAGAAATTAAAAAAAAAACTAGCCAACCACAATTCAAGCTATAAAGTTGGATGACTCGTAAACAGACTTTTGTGTGCGTGGCTACTTTATTTATACAAGTTAAAGTGCTTTTCGAGAACATAACATTCGCTAACCAACAATAACCGTAAAAAC